TATCGTATACAAGGAATATTACCTTTTTAGGAAAAGTCACACACACTCTTGATATATACACATTCATGCGTATGTATGACAACATACCTACTGCAACAGCGTACCATCAGCCATGGTGGCAACATGCAGCCTTCTCCGATATACAAAGTCACGTATGAATAGGGGGGAGAAGAGACCCTCGAGAGGAAGAGAGGGTCATGGCACGACAAACGCTCCAACGGTACCAGGGGGCCATGAGCAAAAAGATGGGAAATGGAAAGAATGGAGCACGACAAATAGGAGGAAGCATTGTTATGTTTGTGCTCTAAGCTTGGAAGGCGAGGGCGTGGGCGTGGGCGTGGGCGTGGGCGTTCTGACCATGTGAACAACAAGTAAGTGTGAAATTTTTGAAAGGTGTCGGTTTATCCATCTCTAGAACTAGGTATTTGTGATTTGTGACTTTGATATTTGACTTTGATATTTGATGTTGGTCCCTCTTTTGGTTTTGGGGAACTCTTGGTGATTCGTGATAACATTGAAAAAGGTATATATATATATATATCTACATATGGACAATTGATGATTGAGTTTACTAGGATGCAATGTATATCTATCTACCTAGGTAGGTACCTCGGGAGGTAACATCATGATCATATACGATACAGAGTAGAAAGTATGACATAGGATTTCATGCAACTCAAATGCATTAAAACCTTCCCAGCTCCATATCTTGATTGGGTTACAGGAATAACTCAAGTGATCTCTTCCTCTTGCTTTCTCTCTGTTCTCTCTCTCCTTCTATCTTCTAGAAGGGAAACCTTCGGAATAAACCCTCAGAATGATCTCAAAATAACCCTCAAAATAACCCTCAAAATGATCTCAAAATAACCCTCAAAATAACCTTCAAAATAAACCCTCAATATAACCCTCAAAATAAAACCTCAAAATAACCCTCAATATAACCCTCAAAATAAACCCTCAGACATCATCCAAACTTTCTCCTACTGCAGTCTCCAGTCCCTAGCACTCCTAAATTTTGACAACCCTCAAACCCCAATTTCCCTACATACCACTAAAATATAACTATTGGTCCGTCCAAGACCATTTCGGAAGGGTTTCACTACTCATTGAGCTACCGTAAAATTATAGTGTTGATTGGTGCCCACATCATAGACTAATAAGTTCATGTGGAACTTTGCTGTGGAGCATCAGCATGAGTTTGCGAAGATATTCTCTCTCGTTTACCGACATGTGTGCACATGTGTGGTACATACTTAGGTACATAAGATCTTGGAAATGTCGTCTGATCATCCAAGGCAAGGGATCAATCGCATTGTTATTATTTTGTTTTGTTGATGGAGGAGGTCCCGGCTACACAATACAATACGTTGGTAGGTAGGTATGGAGAAATAGAACAGAGGTGAGAGGAAGGTTTGGATCTCGAGATCAATCTATTGTTGTTACCTGTGAAAGAATAACAGAAAGAGAAAGCTACTACTACGTTGACTCTAACGACAACCTTGATGCGTGTAGATATCATAAAGCTAATCATCCAGTATACCTCAAAGAAAGGGTCAATTGACTTCCTCCAAATACTACTCAGGTACTATACATTCGAAGAATTAACAATAACACAACAAACACCCCAAACCTCTCAGAAATCTCACATCATTCCATCTAAAGAGTCAGTCACACGACGATAAGGTTTTATCTCCTCCCACATCGACCAACCAACCTTATTCCTCCCACCGCCCCATTTCCTTTCACCTTGGCCTCGACCTTTTCCAATCTCTCACCTGGGGTATCGGAAAATCCAATTTCTACATCCACACCACACGATCCAAGAATCTCCTCCTTCAATCTAGGAATGCCTTGCCAATTTTCCTCAAGGAGGGGTCGATTTTGATATTCTCCTAGGCGGGGGCCTTATCCAATCACAACACCGCAGATGTACACCGAGGGGTAACATGACTCAGATATGAATCAACATCATTCCATCCTCCTCTTTCCAACCCACCCAAAGCACCCCAAACTGACCTCTCGATCTCCACGCTGCAAACCTCGCACTCGCGAATGACCAAAAACGTCGCAAGGTGGTGTCAGGGAAGTTGTTTCCAAGTACGGTAGGGAGGTACTCCGTAGGTATCTTCAACACGCGGTGTGAACACCCCTGGCGCTCTTCAAAAACTCTTGATAGGTCGATGGTCAACCATACATACATGTGGTCTGGTTTGGGGAGATGCGATGGGTTATCCATGCACAAACGCAATGCCGAGAGATTCTTGCATAGTGTTGCATCATCGCACTGCAATCACTTTTGGTCGCTTGCCTTTGCCTTTGCGCGATGTGATCCGCGACGAATGGGAAATGGCGATGGGAAATGGTAGGTTGCTGGCTAGGCAGGTGATTACTCACCGCTCATGTACTGTGAATAGGAATGGGGAGTTGATTGGGGGAGGAGGATTTGATGGTTTGGGATGGTGAGGTTTTTTTGCTTGAGTTTATGTCTTTTGGTTTTTTTTTGATGCTGATGAGATGAATTTGTTTTTGTTTTTATTTTTGTTTTTGCTATTGCTGCCATCTATATTATAATTGCTTTGAAATCCAGTTTTGAAATTCTTTCAAGCAAGGTGTTTTATCAACATCATTTGTATGTTGATTACTGCTGCTGCTACATATTGTAGTTGTCATCACTGTCATCATTTCATAATGTTTTCACAAACTCTCGTCTGGTGTTGATAAGACCCTACTCCATGATATTTCTGAAAGTTGCATAAATGAAATTCATCTTATGTACTTGAGATAAATCATGATGAGATCTTCTCTCTGTTTATTGTTAAAGAGTTGTACAAGTGAGAATTCTTATCGGGTTCTTTGCTATGGGGTTTCTATGGATGGAATTGATGTTCTTGTTTTTGGCAGTTTAGAATGGGGTTCTTCGTGGGCTGAAGTTGCTGGTGGACTGAAGTTGCTGGTGGACTGAAGTTGCTGGTGGACTGAAGTTGCTGGTGGACTGAAGTTGCTGGTGGTGATTAGAGAGTTGCTGTATTGATGTCCTTGATATCTAATGCTCTTGACTGGTCTTTGGTGGTTCTTTGGGGTTTGTTTGTTTGTTTGTTAGATGAAGCATGTATATGAAGCATGTATTCTTATTAACTTACCTCTAAAGCGAGCATAATATGTGAGCCACATTTTGCTCCACCAATTCACTTCTGCAAGCAGTCAAACCTTTTCATTGATCAAGCAGTTGGTATTCATTGGGGGCTCCATACCACTCATAAACCTGACGGTGATATCAAATTTAACTCTTCTATCTCAAGGTGGATGTTGGAGTTCACATTCCTTTTGTATTGAGACGATGGATAATCATGGTCTTGAATTCTCTGGGGAGTCAAGAGTTTATAGGGGAAAGAATTTGCAGTGGCAGAAATCAGAGGACGAAAAATGTTAAGGTTACTTATGGACATGTAGTGAATTTGCTTCTTGAGTCTTACCAATGTCTCCAGGGCTATGGCTGATGTCAAAATACTTGTTCTCGATCATAGATTCAGGAGAAAACAGAAAGGGTAGTACAGCTGGAGGGTCTTGATGTTGAATGGAATGTTTTGTTCTGGAATTGAGGACTCAAATCAAGCTAGTAGTAGTAAGTATGTGTTCTCTAAATCTTGAACTGTATGTACTGTATACTAGATTGTATACTAGATTGTATACTTCAAGTGCCCCCCTGAGTTCATGTGAGACGCAATGAATTTCTTTGATGGGTATAAACACTTTGACGAGCAGTCATCAAAATCTGCCTGGTTCTCTGTCAGTGAACAAACATGTGATAAACGTTTCTGTACCTTATTTACTTTTCTTTCAAATTGCAACGTAGGATGATTAGAATCGTCGCTGCCTGATTTAGCATTCACTAAGCCTTCAAATATGATTCACAGTCAACAACATTCACTGCAAATATCCACCTCGTCGTCGCACAGTGGATATCCAGCCTTACAGCCCCGCTCTCCCTCGTTCCATAAATAGACAACCCCGAGTTTCATATCCGAATGACCCCGGTGGTTTGAAGCATGGTATTTGACTCTTCTTGACCTGGAACTTTATCTTTTTCTTCTGAGTCTTCTATTCATCCTCTTCTTTCTTCCATCCTTCCATCTCGAACCCAAACCCGAACCTCAAACACTTAACTTTCATCTACGTCTTACTTGATAGCTTCTTGATCTTTGCAAGTTCACTTGTGTATTGATTCTTTGCGCTTCTGCGTTTACTATCTCCTTTCTTTGATAGCTTCAAGACGCGCGCCGTCTTCTACCTCCAATATTGAGACATCTCTTACTTCCCTTGACCTCTTTTTCTTTGACAACCCTCGGATAAGGCTTGTCATTTTGATTCATAAAGAACTTAAAGTATCTTCTTCACAAGTGATGCTTTTATTTTTTAAAAGAGGATTTCGGAGTACATAAATATCTGTAAGTGTTCTTTAGATACACCCTCACAAACCCATCTCCCAACATATTCTCTTCCTCTCTCCATCCAGAAAGTCGCACCTTCTTTCAAACCCCCTGATATTACAGCTTGTTCGAAATTCCCATCCTCGAACCATTTCCATCATCATTACCCCGCACTTCACCTTTTAGGAGATTTTCTCCACTGTTTGGATTTGATGCTAATACATTTTTCAGGCTGTGCCAAACAAAGCAGGCACCATTCATGTTCATAACTTCGACTAGTCTTACTACATTTGCTTGATATTTCAAGTATTTCTTGCTGGTTGATTCAGTAATTCTTTGCATTGCATAGGTTGAACAGTTTAATATCTGTAAGTCCTTGATGAAGTTTGTTTGTGCTTCAAAAACACTGCCCCTTATTTTCTTTCCGTCGCATTGGCCATTTCCCGAGATTCGTCATGTGCTATACCTCCCTTCCACCTTCCTCTCACTGATTTTATCTTCACCACCGCCACCATCATTCAATCGGGAAAGTTCTATTCTAACTCTTACTAGATCTTTGATACACCATTCATTATGGGTAACAAAAATAAACCTAAAGTCAAGGCGAATGAGGGTCAACATAGTGGTAAACAATTATGGACTACATATGCAACACCTACTTCGAAGAAAGGTCCAATCTGGAAGCAAGCTCCAAAGAAATTCATTCCTGAAGTTTCTAATGAAACAAATACATGGATATGGCCTTCTCTGGATCAGCAAAAATCACAAGATGGAAATAAATCTGTAAAGACTGACAAGAAAACACCTGCAGAGGCAATTAACAATCCCATTGAGACTGCATTTGTTACAGGTTTCTGTTCAAACAAATTCGTTTTGAGATATTACACCAATAATTCTGTACCTGCCAAAGGATCAATTTGGGAACATCCGCCTCTTCCTGGCACTGCCAAATTCCAGGCTCCTTCTGATCTAGATCCAGCTGCATGGTCTACTGTGCCCGAAAATGCAAAATGGTCTATGCTCCCTGCATATGCCATTAATCCTGCACTCAAATCAGTTGAAGTTCCATGGTGCACCAAAAAGAGAGCAATTACAATCCTCACATGGGCGGCTCCTTCAGGTCCGGATGTTGCAGTTTCTGCTAATGTGACAAGTCCACCGGCTACTAAGAGTCCTTGGGTTACAGTACCAACCAATGTTGCATTTCCTACTCCTCTCGAACAGGAAAATCCTGATAATGTTGCAAACCTTGATTGGGGTGATTGGGGTGTTCAACCAGCGGTAATTTCTGAGAAAGATGCTATTGCAGCAAATGTCTGGGATGATGGACCAGAACCAGTAGAGCCTTTTCCCACTTTGGTTCACTGGCCTTTCACGGGTGAAAAAGATAGATTAAAGAAGTTGGTTTCATTGGTATGATATTTATCCACTGCTTCCACTGTTCATGACGAGTTTATTCTAATGACATACTTTAGGGACCATTTTGCTTCAACTACAAAAAAGTGCTCAAACATCACAAACACAATCAAGAACAAAGTGCATTGATCAGAGTACTTCAAGTAGAAGGTATCAATACCATTCTTCTCAAATTTATTTGGGAAAATCATAGCAATGCTTCTGCCCTTGTTCGAACCAGTCAGAGATCATGGGAAGTTGCGATGGCTGTTACTGTGAGTTTTGGTTTATCTTATCGTTAATGCACTACGTACAGGGCTGACTGATACGTGCAGGGAATTTGGGATATGACTGGAGGTTGTTTCGAAGGCTGTGATTTACCGATAGAGGGCAATGTCTCCGAGGGTAGAGCAGCTTCAGTTGTTGTGGTCACACCTACTAGGGATATGGAACCTATCAATTATGTTACTCAAATCAAGAACTTGAATAAGATGTGTAAGTTCTTTTCCTCCTCTCTTGTTCAAATCAAATCACTAAGATACAGATACTCTCATCAGGTATGGCTATGCATAACTTCAGCGGGTTTCTTCAAAACATCCAATTACATCACGTTCCCTTCCTCACCACCCACATTCTCGCCTTACTCGTTCCCGAAATGCGCAAGCTCAAAACCCTCGGTGTTTACAACTGTGAATTGATTCATCTCGGTGATGGGATTGAACTCCTCAACATCATCACGCGAGATCGTCTTCGCGGTTGCGAACACCAAGTCGATTTAGATTTCTATCCAGCATACCATGTTGGTCCTCATCCTTTCTATCAAGCAGGTGATCGGAAAGGAGAGAGAAGATTAGGGGCAGAGTATTCATATGGTGTTACTTGGGATGATCCCGGTATGCACGTTGCTGATATCCGAATTGCAATCTGGCAGGAAGTTCACGGTCTTCTTCGCCAGGCACGTGCTCAGGGTATTGATTTTGTTTCTAAACATACGATGTTCAGACAATGGTTGGATAAGTCGCCTTGTATGCTGGTTGAGGAAACTCTCAAGGTCCTGATGGATGATAACGTGACGATCGATCAAATTATCGCCCATGTTGCATATGCAGATTTTGGTGGCAGGGTTGAGAAATATTTCGCGGCTTTGAAAGGAAAAGGCATTGCGAATAAAACCGAGGGTGTGAAATGGTATGTTATCACCTCTTTTCTTCAGACATCCCCATCCTTCATATATCATCAAACTAACAGCATTCTCTCTCTAGGATGGAAGAAGGTTTCACATGTCATCAATGTAGACATCTCCTCCCCGGAGTCTGGTTCTCCTACCAAATGATCCGGAACTACAAGCTCGATCCCATCGACGAACCCGTCTGTCAAGCCTGCAAATTATACCAATATTTAAACCAGGAAGACGACCACTACAAAGTACAAAAGTTCAACATCATCAAAGCATGGGTATGGGAGCCCACCTCTAATGTTCCCGGACATCCAGGAAGATGGAATACCAACGATATAGGCAAATTTCTCCACATTTTCAGTAGTACACCTCAAGGCAGCAGAATCAGAGGGTTAGCTCGAACGCTACATGATAAGAGAAGGCTTGATGAGGCTCATGATATCTTTCATGAAATCGATGAGGTGCAGAGAACAATTAGCATTCAGGCTTTGGGAAGAAGAGGCGCGTATGGAATTCGTGCGGCGACGGTCCAGGATAAGTTGTGGATTGAGAGTGGAAGAAAACATAGCGAATGGGATTCTTTCCGAGAAGATCGGATTAATGGACATGGTGTACCGGCTACCTTTAGGGGTCATTGGTAGATTGCTTTGCATCTTGATGAGGTTGATGGTGCTGGGTTTATGGCTTTGTCTGCTTTGTCTGCTCTGCTTTGAGCCCATCAATTTCTTCATCTATCGATGATGCATTTCGACACCAAACCACATGTCCTACATCCCAACAAGCATACCTGGGTAGATCTTTCACCTTGCTCCCATCATTCAATTCCTAGAATGAACAAACGACTTCTCGATCCATAGCACAGAAGAAGAGCATTACGATACCCCCCTCGATGAACTCCTCCTCAATCTCGAATCCTACTTCAACTCCAACTCTAATCTAACATCGATGTCGATTTCAAAATCATTTCTGGACCATGAATCACCAACGAAACTTCCACAACCCACCTACCTAGCTAAGGCAAGCTTTTCTCGCTAGCTGAAGTTATCTACACACTGATATTTTTTCTTTGGTTCATTTATTTGTTTCCTTTCATTTCATTTCTCTTCATCTCTCTTCTCTCCTCTTCTCTTCTTTTGGGCAAAAAGATATGTTTTTCCGCATCACGATACAATACAATACAATACGATACGATACGATACATCATAATAAATTTCACTTGAAATTAAATATCTACACCACAGCATAACACAGCACAGCACAGAAGTCTCGATCATCCAGAAGAAGAGAGGAGAGAAGATCTACATCAATTCAATCAAACATTTATTTCCTTGGTCCTATTTTCATTTCATTTTATTCTCATTTTATTTCAATTTACTCTATTTTATTTTCGAAAAATGGATGGATAGATACACACACACATACATACATACATACATACATACATGGATCGATGGAGTTCAGAACATGGAGTACCTATAGAGAGGAGTTGAAATTTACTGGCTGGTATTGAGTTATTGGCGTTGTTTTATTTTCCTCTTTTCTTTTTCTTCTTTCTTTTTCTTTTCTTTATGCTTTGCTGGGTGGGAGTTTGATGGGCTGGGATGGGTTATTTGATAGGAGTTTCTGGAGGGAATAGTAACGTAAATAGAGAGAGCAAGAAAGAAAGAAAGAAAGAAAGCAGTAAAAATACCGATATCAAACAATCATCATTTTTTCTCCCTCCTCTCTATTTTCCATCCATTACTCATAAGAACTTCTGAATTCCTGCATAATACAAACCTAGATACCCATAGAGAAGAGATTAAACTTATCTACTCGCTTGCTGATATTAAGTTATTGGCGTTGGTTTGGTTTGGTTTTTCTATTTCATTTCATTTTATTTCAGTTTATTTCTCTTCATTACCTACCTACTTGTTGAAATTTTGGATAATGGGGGAGGGAGGGGTTAGATAGTATTTACTTTTTTACTTTTTTGATTCTGCGATTTGGGGTCTGTCTGGTGGGTGGATTCTTTCTTCTTTTCTGATAAATTTGTTTCTGATTCGTTTCTTTTCTTGGCCTTGATAGATTAGATGCATATGTTGCGTTGCGGGGCGGTGCGTTGCGGTGCGGTGCGGTGCGTTGAATTGAATCAAATTGATTTCTAACAAGATGATGAAAATGGAGTTTGTGTGTTTGTATGTTTTCGTGCGTGCGTGCTTGCTTGGTGATGTGATATGATGTGATGTGATGTGATGTGATGTGATGTGATGTGATGTGATGTAATATAATGTATTATGAACTTTAGATGTCAACGACCTACCTTCCTACTCCATAGCATCTGCGCTACCGTACAGCAAGAAACATCTTTGACCTCTGAGAATAGATCACACATCTCTCTTTCGACCCTTCAATCCAACACATTTGAGAGCTCGGCGTGAGTAAGTCCACGATGATGATCATATCGGGATGTTTTGTCTTCTTGCATCCTTTCTACTTGAATAGTGATATCATATTGAACAAGAACCCATTGAATTCTCACGCTCTTGCTTTGGCCTTGGTTATATTTATGTGCACTAGCGATTATACTTGTCCGTCTAGTTTTCTTTTTCACTTGACTTCCCCTCTTCCCATTCTCTCTTCTCCCTTCTCCCTGTGGTCTAGCTCGGGTATATCGATTCCGTCTTCTTGGAACTTATATTACCTAGAGACATTGTACTTGAACTTTCAAGAAGAACGTTGAAAAAACATCGCCATCCTCATCATCATGATCTCAAACTCAAGCCCCCTCTTCATCTCCCAAAGTGTTCATTCTCATACAAGTAAATTTCTCATACAAGTAAATTTCTCATATCCATCATGAATCCAATTCTGCTTATCCATCCCCCTCTATTCTTTTAATATACCATTATTTTCACTTTCACTTCCCCATCCATCTCTTCTGTCATTCTCACCTCATCCTCCTTCCTCTACTTTCCTTAAATCCTCGAGTTCCCGCTGTCCTGTCGGCTCTTTTCTAAACCCCACCGATTTCTTCCCCATTCCCTAGATCTCCTCATTCATACCTCCCTATTCCTCTCGCAAACAAAATCCCATACCTTGTCCCTGCCCTCTCTACCACTCAGACTCCATCCCGAGCTGGATACATCATACGCATCATCTCAGCCAACCTCACAATTTCAGATACATCCTTGTACTAACCACAATGATTGCCTGTTAACCATCAAATCTTCAATCCCACATGACATGCAACACATCGAACAGAAATACATACCTAGATACATATACACCCACATTAATATCTGTCTCTCTCCCCAATCTATCCAACCCTGACACACTATATCAAACCATCAGCCTACTCCAACTCCGCCCTTACGCTATTTTGCCTCATCACCATCACCATCACCATCACCATCACCATCACCATCACCATCACCATCACCATCAATCTACATTTCCTCATCCTCCCAGCACAAAACATCACCCAAACAACTCTTGCCATCCATCCAGACCTCGATTTCAAAACTCATACCACAATCCCATCACAAACCACCAACCAAGCCACAATAAATTTTCGAAATATAATCACCCATTCCACCTTCTTTCCTCTTTCCTCTTTCCTCCATTTTTCATTCTCCTACCTTTCTTCTTCTTTCCTTAAATTTCACCACCACTTCATCTTCATCATCCCTCCCCAACCTCTCTTCTACTCCACCTTCCTTTTTCTCTCCATCTTCATTTCAATTGTTTACCTCTTTATTCTCTTTACCCTTTACTCCTCCCCCTCCTCAATATTCATACCCACCTACCTACCTACCTACCTATCACCTACTTACCTATCCAGCATAACACATTACACATTACACATCACCTCGAAACACAATCAAAGTACCTCCGTACCTGAGCACTGGGTGATCATTATACGTAGTGGGTCGAAATATTTCAAATCCACTCCTCCAATTGGCTTGTCAACCTTACATAATCGAAATATTTCAGAATATTTCAGATCCATCGATTGTATTGGTCGGCCACGATCACTAGTTTGAAATATTTGGGATCCATCGGAGCAATTGGCTCGCTAAACCTTAGTTTGAAATATTTCAGATCCATCGATTGTATTGGCTCACCACATTCCTTAGTCTGAAATATTTCAGATCCATCAATCGTATTGGTCCGCCACATTTCTTAGTCTGAAATATTTGGGATCCATCAATCGTATTGGCCAGCCACGATCACTAGTCTGAAATATTTCAGATCCATCGTACCAATTGGCTCGCTAAACCTTAGTTTGAAATATTTCAGATCCATCAATCGTATTGGTCCGCCACATTCCTTAGTCTGAAATATTTCAGATCCATCAATCGTATTGGCCAGCCACGATCACTAGTCTGAAATATTTCAGATCCATCAATCGTATTGGCCAGCCACGATCACTAGTTTGAAATATTTCAGATCCATCAATTACATTGGTCCGCCACATCCCTTAGTCTGAAATATTTGGGATCCATCAATCGTATTGGCCAGCCACAACTCTTAGTCTGAAATATTTCACACGCACCGAATCTATTGGTCAGATTATGTAATTGACATATCTCACACAGAGGTACTTACCTAAGGTTATTGGAATAATACCTCAACATATTCTTGTGCTCTTATTACACCATAACCATTACAACTTCCATCATCCTTCCAACATTCACGATTCAAATCGCAATTACAATTCACATCCCTCAAAACCACCACAGTACGATCCGTTAAATATCGAATCAGAAATCTCATAACCTGAACATGGTAGGATACTACCTATCAAACTAGGTACCCAAATGGTATAAACATAGAAGCAAAAAACAAGAACCCAGTATCTCAGTATCTCGTGAACATTAAAACACATTATACAAATTCCTTCTCATTCCCTTGGTATCTCAATCGACGGCCGCTTCCGTATCCATTCTTGTCCATGTTTGCTTCTCGCTGGTCCATTTTCTGGCCATCCCAAATCATGAAACAAATTCGTCCCGAAATTGTGGTCTTGTTTGCCCTCTCACATGATGCCTATCGATTAGACAATCATAAAAAATCACCCGTCCCAATAAAACAAAATCACCAACTCCCTACCCAAAATCCATAACAATATTTACGCAAATCTCGGTGCCGAAGTAGCCCTCAAAGGTAATTGTCTATCCAAAGATTTGAAAGCCAAAGTTCTTGGTGTAAAAGGTTGTTTGGAAGGATCCATACTTTGTTGCATATTCTGCATTTCCCATTGTCGCTCTGAATCCGGAGAATCTGTTGTCTTTACTCTCTTGCCCGCTTTGGTAGATGTTTCGATATTATCTTCGAGATCGAGTGCATTGACTGAACGTTCGAGGCGTGAAGGAATTAGAGAGTGAATACCGAGAATTGTGTTTGCGAGATAGACAACCCTGTTGATTTGTAAGTTTTGGATTCTAATTCGAAAACTAATGACATACATCATAAATACCGTAACAGCAAAACTTCCCTTTGCCATTTGACAATAATGTTCATTTCCACTAGGTGCAGCATATGAACAACTCTTCGCAATATACCAAGCCACATTACTTGGATGTTCTGGATCCGTATGATCTGGTCCGGCTTGTCCGTATATACTGACAATCCAACAGACTGTGAGAAGTCCATTTATAATAGTCGAGAGAAGAGGATACCAGATATGCATAATGAACATGACAACTTTGCAAAGTTGGATGAACATGGAAAGAACCGAGATTCCAATATTGAAATTTTGTAATCTATATTTAAAAAGCACGAAATCAGCTGGGATTCCTCTCAACACACTCTCATCTTAAACATCCTCCGACGAAAGAAATAAAACTCACGTCTGACTCCAAACAAAAGCAATCTTTGGCAATGGACGATAATTCGCATAAGCATATAAAACCTCATCCGGACTACTATTGAATCCATTATCATAACCAATCTGCCACATTTTCGTTCGATATAAATCTGGATCTGCGATACCAAACATGACGAGTGCAGCGACGGTTCCCGCCAGTTCGATTACATTAAGCCAGATGATAACCTTGGGAAACTTCCATTTCCGCTTCATGATAGGTGAAGAAAGACATCCGAAAACCATGATGAATGTATTGAAGAATATCGCGGATGGATTGGGGGAGAAGTCGTGCGATGATCGTAAGGCGAGAATAAGCTGGAGAGATAGAGATCTTTCGTTCAATGTTTGCGTAATGAGATATGAGTCAATCGCCAGCGATCAAATAATGTAATTTAGATTATACACCGTCGATATCGAACAGACATCGAAATATGGAGAGATCAGAACGTCGTCTCTTCAAGTTCCAAGAGGAGAGATAGAAATCTTCATTAACGAGCTTACGAACGGCTGGCCATCCATGATTTATTAATATAACGGAAAGGCACATTTTAGATGGATGGTGTACAAGGGAGGTGTGAAGGAGGGGTGAAAAGAATCCATCCTTCCAATGAGAAATCATCACCAAGAGCTGATTTAAGCGCTGAGCCTGCATGTCGATGTGAAAGGTTGAGTTCGGTATTGAGGATAGAACCAATGAAAGTGCGGGGATGAAGCTTTTTGGGGGGTGGAGAGTGAGAACTAGGAGGAATTAGGAAATGGTAAGAAAATGATATCGATGGCGCTTGGGGATGAGATGATTTGAGTGGTTACGGGTATTAATACCCTGCGTGGATGGGAACTAAATACCCGGAGCTAATTGGAGTGCACGGCCGGGAAATCTTATCTTTAGAGTGATTTATTGAAAATATCACGACTGATCGAGAGCAATGCCGGATGCACTACGATATAAGACTTTTGGAATTAGATTTCCGTTTTGGGGGATTTAGTTGTAATTGGTACATTTGATTGATATTTACTAGTTCAAGGAAAGGAAATAGTATATGGCGTCTATGATTCGTTATAGAGTATCTAATTCCACCACTCCACTCTTGTCAAGTAACCTTACTCGAAGAATCTTCCCCATAGGTCATGTTATATCTAGATAAACTAACGAGTAGGTACCCAGCAGAGATATATATATCTAATCAACTCTTCCCAGATCCGTAAACAAGACAATCAATCACATTGAAACACTAACTAAAAATCTCCCTGACTAGTTTTCTCATTCTCTAGGTACCTACCTGTCCTGTCTATTCAAATTATAGATTATCGTACAGACTGGCGATTAGCGAAGGGGAAGGTCTAGACTCGATTTTTATAGCTATTTACCTACATAGGTACGCAAAATTATAGTGAAGATACTCTCTCTGTCTTAAGATTATTCTCTCTTTATATATTCCATCTACCTACCTCATCTACCCCAGATACATACAAATCATCATCATCATCATCCCGTGAATACCCCACCCCATAAATCCAACACTCCTAACACTCTTAATATTCCATATTCCATTAACTCCCAATTCTCATCCACTCCATACAATCCGATTATCACTAAACAAAATACACACAACAACAACAACAAACTCTAGTAAAATCCCCAACCCAGCCCTCTCAACCAAAGCCCAAAAGTAGACCTCACTGTCTTTCATCAAAGATAGGATTACCATACCAGTCCATCAGCGCGGCCTCGCCTCTGGAGTCTGGTCTCGAGTCCCAACATCCAAACATACGACCTCTCGAAATGTTGGTTATTACTTTACTTTACCTTTCCACAAATACAAATCCATATAAAAACACACCCCCATTAAATCATCATCATCATCCTCATCCTCATCCCAACTCTCCCATTTTCTCTTTCCATCACACACACACACTCACACACACAAGAAATACACAAACCCCTCCATCCATTCCCCATAGATCCCCAACATCCATGCCCCCCGAAATCCACACCTGCACACTCCACTACACCCAAACCCCCCATCAAAACCTCTCTCAGCGCTCCATCCACAAACCGTGGTCCATCTACCTACAAACCCGCACGCACTGGCACACGATTGAATTCCACGAGCAAGCGATCCTCGAATCACGACTCTCCTCGCACCGCCACTCCCGCGCGCCATGCTCCGCACGCGAGCTCTACGATTTCCAGCTCCGGGAACTGGGTGTGCCGCCGAAGATCTGGACACGCTGTCCCGATTCGGATACGGCGGAAGCGGAAGTGTCAAAGCGGGTGAGGGAATTTGGGGTGGTGAGTGAGAGTATTGGGATGAGGAGATTGTTGCAGGAATTTGGGGAGAGAGTGAGGAGGGGGGAAATTCCGGTGGATGAGGTATGTTTTGCGTTGTGGTTGTTTGATGTGATGTTTGGATGTAAAGTATTCGACTTGTACTATCCCTTTGGGAAGATATGCACTCAAAGTTTCCTCACTCACCTACTAACATATACATTTATCAACAATAGTTGTTTCTCCCACCTCTCTTCCTCCTCTGGCTCGAGAGTCTCAATCTCAAACCGCCCAAAACCAAGAAATCCAAAAGCAACCCCAACTCCAACCCCAACCCACCAAATCCCCCCGAAACACCCCTTTCCTCCCATCCCAATTTCAAAATCCACCTCCAAGTCTCCCAAATCCAACCCGGCAACTCCCAAGAATCCTGGATCTGGAACGAAACCCGCACCTTCCTAAAACTAACCCATCACTCCGGCCCCAACAAATCAGGTCTCTACCTAATCCCCAATCCCTATCCCTCCTCCTCCTCCTCCCAAGACCCCATCCTCTTCTCCTGGACCCACGGCTCCCTCACCACCAAAGACAACACTCTCTACGCCCGTGGCAAATGTCTCACTTTCTCTCCTCCTCCTCAGCACTCTTCTCCTCCTCCTCCCCCAGTGCATTTCCACCCCCTCCCCAAAGGTTCCCTTACCCCCAGTCCCCACTTCGCCGCTAGCATCAATCGTTCGCACTTCTCAAAACACTGGGAAGAATACGAAGTCGACATCAACCAACCCGCCATCCCATGCATATGGTGGGAGAAAAACATCACCATCTTGGAAGATGGAGTGTTGTTGCGAGAATATGAGGATTTGTATGAGAGATCGAAGGAAAAGGGTGGTCCGGTATGCTTTCCCCCTCTTTTCTTTTCTTTTCTTCCCTTCCCCTTCCCCTCCCCCTTGACTAACACTCACCACCCCAGCAATTCACCCCCTCCACCTTTCTCGCCCAAATCTTCCACACAATCAACACCAGCATCCCCCCTTCAAAAAAGCGAGGTGGCAAAAACAATCCCCCCAACGACGACAACCACTCCATCGACATCTCCGAGCTCTACGAGCGCGGCCGACAAGATCTCGAGCGCAGTAGACAAGATCTCGCGCGTTCAAAACGTCGCAGGTATTGTTTGAGAGAATTAGCATTATCCACCTCTTCCTCTTCCCTCTCCTCTTCCTTTTCCTCTTCCTCTCAACCCCCCAGATCGCAATCCCTCCCCGCAAGAACCAGATCCAAAACCAGAACCAAAACCAGAATCCCCCAAGATTCCCATTCCTCCCAGTGCTCACAGCAGAGACGAAGCAGCCACGAAACCGAAAATGTTGAACTCCGCTGCCGATCGCAATCATGCGGTCCTTCCGAAGCGCGATCCACCTCCACCAAGTCTACACGTGAATTAAAAAGAACCCTTTCACATTCACATTCCCATTCCCACTCTCACTCCCATTCCCACTCCCCCTCCCCCTCCCCCTCCCCCAATAATCTCCACCACAACCTCCATTCTCCTCGTACTCATTCCGTGCCTCCTCCCCCTCCACCCTCACGATCAAGCACTTCTAGTTCCACCTCTAGCTCCACCTCTAACTCGAAGCCCAAACTCAAACCCAAGTCCACCCCTACCTCTGAACCTCAACCCCCTCGCGATCCTGCAAAAGCCCTTCGCAAGACGCGGGATTTATTTAAACCACTGTCGTATTTGTACGCGGACTGATCGAAGAATGCAAGAAGGGGAAAAGTGGATGTAGAAAGAGACGGAAAAAGCAAAGAGAGATCGTAAATGTAAATAAATAAGGGATTTGTATATCTAGATACTAATCATTAATCATCCTCTTAAATAAAACATCTCTAATATAAGAGTTAATCCATTTTGATTTCTCATTTAAATCAATATATACCTAGACACACATATAAGCAAGCACCAACAAATAAATACTATCATTTTGATTTTTGATATAAAAAGAATTATCATTTCATACTACACCACAAGTATCAAATCGTTTTCATAACGCGCACAAAGAACCCCCCATCCCATGCTAGATCAACCCATATCGATCCATTTCAGATAATATCTGATCCGGTTCAGTTAGCCAGCTAGTTCTTATCCGATATATCATATATATCGCCCTACATCGCTATTGGGCAATATATGCTCACTTGCATTGCATTTGGTATAAACCCCATCCCATCCCCATTCTTGAACATTCCCCATATTTCGCCTGCGGTGGATACTGTAGACCCGTTCGTCCAGAAAGATCCCCAATCACAATTCCCAACCCAACCCCAAAGGCCAACCATATTTCATTTCCCACCCTACACCATACGCAATTCATACGCATTCCATAGGCAAACCATCCTACCATCCATCCATCCATTCCATTCCATAAAACTCCAACAGCAATAAACTCCGTCGCTTAAAACATAATATAATACTGTACTTAAAATACCCAAAGCCTTGAATAGCTCTCGAAAATTCATTAATAACTCAAATCCACATCTCCTAATCCCGCAACGATTTTATCTTCCTCAGACATAGTACCCTCACTTCCTGTTGCACTTGCACTTGTACCCGTTCGTCTCCTCGGTTCTTCTTGATCAGCAAGTTGTAGTTGTAGTTGAATTCCACTTGCAGAGGCGCCTTCATCTCGCATTTCTTGAAAACTCCAACTAGGTTCAAAGTTGTTACTATTCCAAGCATGATCGACTCGTTCATATAACTCATCAATCTGCTCAAGACTGATTTTGCTTGTTTCGTATACCATTCCCCATACGAATGCAAACGCGATTACACAAAAGCAAGCCCAAAGAAAGAATATCTTTGCTTGAAGATTTGCATAACCAGGTCCGCTGCTGGTCATATATGGAACGCTGTAAGCGATGGCAAAATTAAGAAGCCAATTCGAAGCGGTGGAGATCGACATGGACTTGGCTCGAACCTTCAATGGGAAGATTTCTGATGTGACGACCCAAACGACTGGTCCCCAAGATGAAGCAAAAAAGAAGATGAATAAGCAAACGAATACAATAATTACTAAATTCACTGCTCTCGCTTCTTCGTGTGCTGCAGTTCCAACCGAGGCAATCAAGAAATGACAAACTGCCATTCCTGCTGCACCTAGCATGAGAAGACGACGACGACCTAATGATTCGACTAGAAACATTCCAGGAATCGTTGAGACAGTATTGACGATATTTGAAATAAGTTGAATTACGTAAGGTGACGAAATTCCGACATTCTTGAAGAAAGTCGTACCACTAGAATAGCTAGTCAGTCACTGCATATTTCAAAAAAGGTATGCGATACTGCAAAGAGTAACGTTAATAGTACTCACTAGTAGAAGATAAAGTTCTATTCAGAATATTAGTAATTTAATTAATCATTGAAAGGAATGTACTCACGCATCCAGTCAACTGCTGAAGCATTTGTAGAACACAACCGGTTAGAAGTCGACGACCTAGATGCGGCGAACCTAGGAAGATATCTTTATATGATGAAGAACCTAAACTCAACTCATATTCATGGTTCGCTTCAATTTCCGCCAATTCTTCGATCAAAGCAGGATGCGTTATGTCAAGGCGACGAAGGCGACTTAAAGATGAAGCAGCTGCCTGATGTTGACCACGTTTGATGAGATATCGAGGTGTTTCGGGTAATAAAACAAGGCCAAGGAAGAGAATGCCTGCCCAAACGAATTGTATTGCAAGAGGAATGCGAAAAGCTTTTGGCCCATCAATACTTTGGGTAAACATGTTGACGACGGCGGCGAGAAGAAGTCCACAAGTGATGGCGAGTTGATATGTGCATACAAGAGTTCCGCGAATCCATTTCGGTGACATCTCTGATTGATACAAAGGAACGAGAACAGAGATAATTCCAACGCCTAGGCCCGCAAAGAATCTATCGAGTTGTCAGTCTTCTTTGTGTTCTATATTCGAAATAATGCAACATACCTTCCAGCTATAAGCATCGGAATCTGCATTGCGGCAGTCTGAAGTGCCACCCCGATACAAAATATACCGACCGAAATGATGAGAGATATCCGTCGACCAATTCGATCACCCATCGGCGCAGCCAGCAATGCTCCGAAGAAGGTTCCGGCACTCAAGATTGCCACGACTTGAGCGGATTGACTCGGCGTTATGGATAATTCATTGTCGGAAGGATCAACGTAACCAGTTGAGAATTGTTCGCGAAAGGCACGCATTGCCACCACTCCCGATATTGTACTTGAATCCCATCTATCAGCTTTCATCGAGTCTTGAATTGTTTTCCATGCCAGTTACTCACCCCGTATCATAACCAAACAAGAGACCTCCTGTCGCGACGAATAAACCTATCATGATAGCCGGCGCCGATGAGCCGGCGACGTTATCGGGCTTGTGCCAGGTCATGGCGATTACCATGGTGTAATAGAATTGGACGACCGGTTGGCGTGGGGAATGAATGAACGTTGGAGGATGTGAGGAAGGGATTGAAGTAGGTCGAGATCGATAATGATCACCGGATTTTCGTGGATAGAAATTGGCATGCCCATTGGACGATGAATAATCTCCTGCAAAAAGCAAAGGTGAGAAGCATTCCCTTGTCCAGTATAAATCAGCACGTGGTTGACGGATGGAGAATGGGGAATTGAGAGGCAGCGGGCGCACGAGGTAGAGGACGGGAGGAGGGTGTGAATGGGTCGGGACGTCTCGTCTTGTCTTGTCTTGTCTCGTCTTTGAAAGACTGCTGACAATGAATGAAGATGGATGTTCGACCTAGAATTTAGGGTGTGGGGAAAAGGGAATCGTCTTTTTCTTGGGGAAGTTATGGAAGGAATCGAATGACTGGAAAGACTGGATGGATTGACTGGGATGACGGGGGATGACGGGGATTATGATTTGATTTGGTTTGATTTGGTTTGGTTTGGTTTGGTTTGGGGAGAAAGTGAACGGGGGGAGGGGGGAAGAAATGAGTGTGACCCCAGCCCAGCCTTTTACGGAAAGAAATAGCGCTTTTAGCTCTTTTGGCTCTTTTAGCTCTTTAAGCTGTTTTTTTTTTCATTTTTCACCAGAGATGGGAAAGCTGAGTGAAGTGTGATAGGTGGGTAGTGGTGGGTGGTGGGTGGTGGGAGGTGATGCATGTACAGAGTGAGTACCTAGGTAGCGAGGTCTCGTAGTCACTGATCTGATGCTAAGGTTAAGTGCAAAAGAGTTTCCAAGTGTGTGCCACCCTAGCAAGAAATGGGTTACTCTCTTTGATTTTTCCATCTTTTCTCTTCACCTGTCACAATTCAGGCTTCAAGATGATTTGAATTTTGAGTATACCTACGATAGGTACTACATATATGTATCAATGTGGCGTAGAATTTAAGATCCAAGTTGAAGTGGAATTGAATTGAATCAGAGTCAGAATCAGAGCCACAAGTCAAAGATTGAAAGTTAAAAGTGCGGAGAAAAGGGTCGCCTTGAGAAGAGTGAAGGGTGAAAGTGAAGGATGAAAATCGAGACAGTATACTCGTATTGGGAGTGTTATGAGTGAAGGTTTGATAAGAAGAGTAAAAAATAATCAAAAGAAGAAATGAAACGGGACTAATGCTAATACCAATGCGAATACTGACACTGACACTGACATTGATAGATACCTAGATAGTGAGTGATAGTGATAATGATAGTCTAGGTAGGTTATCGTGGAATTGATTTGGAACATCTCTATCGCATAAATCGAATAAAGTATACTTATTATTATTATCGGGTATTACTATTAAAAGGAGAGGTAATACAGTATTTCCCTATTATTTACCTAGTATTTATCGAATATTTACCTCGCATCTACGAGTATTAAAAAGTTAAAGAATCCTTAGATATAATATCATATCTACTACTCGTATATACCTATATTCCCTCATTCCTAACTCTCAAGAAAGATCGAGACTCGGGACTCGGAACAGCAAGGTTTATCAAGTACCTTGATATATTCGAGCGATTCGTGAGTACCTTACCTCGAGCTTACGCAGTATAAATTGTATAATCAACTACATACCTAGTAGTGACATTCAAGAGAAAATATAAGGAATTACGAACGATTGGTCCAGATTTGATGGCTTGGATTTCCACGGCTGATTATGGCTTGTGAGTTGAATTCCTACTGTACTACGAGTAAGTACTTTGTATATTCAATTCTTTCGCTTTCGCTAGATGTAAAAAAGCTTGTTGTTTCATTTCCCCTCACAATGTACCGTATAGGAAAAGGGGGGTTTTTAGGACCGATATACAACTAATTGAATTAATACATCTGTTATACAACCATTTAAATTTTTAAATCCGTTTCCAATCAGATTTAAATTAAAACTATAGTTTTCAATATTCTGAAGTGAATTAGTATAGTTAAAGCTAATAAATAGTTCAAAACAATAAGTAGTTG